AATTGATATACCAAGATGATTAAAAAGCTTAAGAATTTTAAAATTGGTTGAGTTTTTATTAGGACCATCAATAATAGTATTAGCAAGATAAATATTATAATCTTTATTTAATTCTGAATTATAAAATAATAATTAATATATTGTGAATTAATTAAAAATAATACTAATTTATTAAATAATATCTTGTATATTAGTATTAAATTCTAAATTTTCAATAATAAAATTAAATATATAAGTTTTAGATCAGAACTATAATAGCAGTTATATAAAAATTAGCAAATATATTATTTGATTTGTAATTATTTTTACTAACAGATTTACCTTTGTTCCTTGTTCTAATAATAATATTATTATTATTGTTGTTATTAATAACTATTGTATTACCTCCAAAGATTAAATAAATAAAATATTACAAAAATTTTAGTAAATAATATATTAGAAACCTTAGAAATTTTACCAGTAATGATATCAGAAGCATTACTAGATTTTTCAGTAAGAATATTACTAGTAAGGATTCTACCAAAATGTGTATTGGTGGTACTTTTATTAGAACAAGTATCAGGCATAACTAGTATTTGTGGCAGAGGCACAACCAGCTCTTGTAGTAGAGGTACAACCAGTACTTATAGCAGGAGCATGACCAGTACTTGTGGTAGAGGTACAACTAGGACTTGTAGTAGGGATATAACCAGGACTTGTAGCCAGACATGAGCAGAACTTGTAGCAAAAGCATAAGCATAACTTGTAGCAGGACATAATCAGAACTTGTAGTAAGAGAACTATACAAACTTGCATTGGAAGGACTAGCAGTGGTGATAAGAGAAATGTGCCAGAGATTAAAAGTGAAATATATCAACTAGAAGCTCTAGATGGTAGTGTAAAATTATTTGTGACTTTATCACTTTCTCACTGATTTCTTTTTAACTTATTTTGATTTTGTTTTATAGCAGTTTTTTATATAGCAACAAAATCTGCTCTAACTAAACATATATTAAAATATATTAGTACTGATATCTATATTTATATGATTATCTATTATAATAATTACAGTTTTTGATCACTATTTTTTTTTACAACCTTTACAATATGGCTATATCATCTAGGTTCAATTTCAAAATAAATGTTTTGTCTTTCTTCTTCATTAGCCTGTTTAGTATCTGTTTTGAATATCTTATCACTGTGGTATTCACTTTTTCTTATTATTTTTTTAAGTTATTTAGAGCCTAGTGCTCTGATACATCAAGAGAGAGAAGATTTGTAAGATGCATACTATTTGTTTTTTATAAATGAGTAAACATCTTTTTTAACAGTTAATTTTTTGAAAAGTATAATTAAAATTTTACTGATAGTAATATAACAAAATATTGATGCAAAAAAAATTCTTACTGCAGTTATCCTTTGATTTTCTTAGTTTTTTGCAAATGCTTGCATATTTCTATTAGGGTTTTGTTTTCTTAAGTGCTTTTCACATTGATGCCAGTAGTATTCTTTAATAATTTTAAATATTTGGTAATCTTCTACCTGATACCTTCTTATATCATGTTTCACTATTTTAAAAGAATTTTTGAGGAATTCCTGTTTGAATTCTAACAAAACTTGGGATGAATAAGGTTTTCTGGATTTTTCTAATCCGGAAAATGAAATCTTAATATTATTTTATTATATTAAATTTAAATTAATTAATAAATAACTAGTGATACTAGTACTCGCAGTGACCACCTTATACTTAATACATCTTGGACATTTCCCAATGCTTATAGCAAACCTCCTCGCTTGCATACAGGCATTAGCCGTCGTGTATTTAATTATAAAGATATGACCTCAGAAAATTGGTCTAAGTTCTCAGACCTTCTTACAACAAAACTTAATCAGCACCAAACACCATTAACACCACAAACCGCTGAAAGCATTGACACCATATGGCATAAGATTGAACATTCTATTATAAGTACTGCTATAT